CATAGATCTCTTTGTTTTGGGTTTTGATTTTCGATGACTTTTTTCGTGAGCGTGGTTGCGAGTAGATCTGACGAAGCTTTTGATTTGGGAGCCTATGGCAAGCGTTGTGGCTGTGAGGTCTAGGAATATCCAGCCCAATCCTGCAATTTGAAGATCTCTGTCAATGTTGTACCCAAGTTAGTTGCAGATTATTAGATCTAAAAGTTTTTTTTGGATTTGGAGACAAAAAAAAGAGAAGAGGAGAAATGATCTACAAGCTTTTCTTGGATTTGGAGACAAAAAAGAGAAGAGGAGAAATAACGTGAGTTTGAGGAGTGTGAGATTGGTGATGTGGATTAATGACATGGATAATCAAATTTTTATTTATTATTTTTAATTAAAAACGAATTGAAAATTATTAATTAAAAAAAAACTAAGGAAGGGTGTTAATTGTAATTACACAAATGCTCAAAACATATGAGTAATTTTAGAAAATGTATGATATTCTAGTAATATTCGAACTTTTGGTTAACATCTGAGTAAATATTTCATATTTTTATAAAAGCCCAAACATGCCCACTAGTTACAAAAATAAAAGAAAACAAACATGTGTTATGCAACTAGTCGCAACTCTCAAGTCTTCACATAACTGAATTATCTACTATTAGTATTGTCCCATGATCAAAACCACTTTTCTTGTCTACATATATTGTCTCATTCCATCTCATTTGATTGGTTATCGCCTTTACTTTGATAAGAACGTCAAAATGGTCTCGTATTACAATTGTCCCTTATGGTCTAAGAATCCTCTGCATCACCAAGAGTATATCAACAATGTCACATCTATCATAATTCATAAAAAAACATGTAAAAAAAACAAACCATTACACATTGATTACAAGAAAATGTAAATCATAATTTTTCAATGTTACAGACAGATCTTACTTGTTCAAGTACAAACTAAACACACAATTGGCATGAATCAGATCATATGCTCGAGGGTATGTAGAGAAAGCTTCACACCTGAAAAAAAAACCAGAAGAGAAGGTATAAGAGAGGTCTAACTAGATGATTGACATATGAACGTTTTTGAGTGTTTTACCAGTTTATCTAAGTTCCAGGGGGACGATCGTACTTAAGATCAAATGGAACCATATTCATAACCCACATTGGATATTTGTTCAAGGCTACAACAAAACAGCCTAATCCAGCGTTCATATCAATGATGTTTCTGTATTTTCCATTGCTGACACAAGTTTGTGTCAGCTTTGAAGCTGGCAATAGTTGTGTGTGTCGTTAACATCTGGAAGAGGAGTGATGCACGACTCCATATCTTTGTATCTTTTGTAACAAAATATGTAACTGAATCAAGCTTTGGCTTCTAAAGATGCTGAGGAAATTAGATTTGGGGAAAGTAAGGCCACCATGCAGCATCAAGATCACCAGAATAGCAGAATCCAGGAAACTTAAGAGTTTGTAGCCTTTGTCTACACTGCAAATGATTACAAGGCTTTCTCCATATGACAACCGGGTAACTTTCAGCAATCTTCAACCAACAAACTCTTCTTAAAACATCATTTAGTTGCTCTATCTAGTTTTGCAACTCCTTGGAATCTGTCTTCTGGTTCTTGGATTTAACCCTTGATGCTACATATGGTCCAGAAAACATCCACTATCCCTCAGGATGTAGAACATGATCCACTTCCATCAAGTAAAGCACATCTGGATAAGATGTTCTCTCTCTTTCAGTATCAGAAGTAGAGTGATTCAAGCAAGGGGTCCAATCACTTATGTAAACGATATTTCCCAAGAATGACTCTTTTGAGCGAAATTAATTAAAGTTGTTGACAAGAAAAAATTAACATTCTTAAGAAGATGAACTTTAAACAAGAAAAAGATATTTTCAACCAATATGCCAATTATGACCACTTTGAAGTAACAGTCAATCAATATTGTAACACCTCGACTACTCCTATCAGTGAAGTGATAATCCACGTCTATTCTTGGACCTGTGGGCTCCATCCCTGTCCAACGGTCGGTCTGTTACGTCCGGGAGGCTTTAAAGACTAATTTACCGATCCTACAAATCACCACATGATCTTTCACAATGTTTTGTCCTCACTCATACGGTTCCGACAATCACTTTCCGGAAGGTCATCCATCCTGAAATCCACCCCAACACGCTTAACTGTAGAGTTCTCTTAGAACGTTTGACCGGAAAGATAGGTGCATTTTGATAATATAAATGACCAAATCAATTCTTTTAAACATCTCTGCATGTACCACTATATTCCTGAAATCGAAATGTTACAAATACGCCGATTATGACCACTTTGAGGTTACATTCTCCCTTCCGAATATATACAGATACTCCCTCCGTCACACAAAGATAGATTTTTTAGAAATTTCACATTCTTTAAGAAATAATGTATAATGACAATTTTAACCTTTTAACGTTTTAACACATTTTGAGTAAATTTTTAATTGTTGTTTAATAAGGGAAAAATAGGTAAACTGTTTTAAATTTGATGTTGGAAACATAAAATTTCTATGTTTGTGAGATATTTTTTTTTCTAAAAAATTCATCTTTCTGGGACGAAGGGAGTAAATGTTTATAAGAAATTTCAAATTTGCATCTTCTCGGAAGAACAAATAAATAATATGATTAAATGCGAGCGTTAACTTGCAATTTAAGAAAAGGTTAAAGCGATTATTTGCTTTCTCTTTCTTTGTTGGAAAGCTGAAATGGAATAAAAACTCGTGCATGAAGAATTGAAGATGTCTCTTGTTAGATTTACGTGCATGCTTTTATTTTTGTATCATTGCCCATTATGCATTTAATAATTGACTTAGAATATGTGGTTATATAGCAATTATCTTCTTTTTCTTTGTTGATGCCAATTAACTTCTATTTATGTTTTCGACTTTCTACAATTATACCAAATTTAGGCCAACATTCTTTGCAAAAACATTTTGTTGACTAATAGCTTTAGCCTCAATAAATTAATGTGTAAAAACAAACTCTTAATCGGAAACTGATATTTTATATTGATATTGTAAATCTGACTGCTTACTACATATTTATAAATTTGACTGCTTATTACATATTTATAAAATTTTTATATACTTTCGGTATATACATTTTAGTATATAAAAATTTATAAATATGTAGTAAGCAGTCAGAGTTACAATTTTTAACACATAAGATCTATTTGGGCCAAGCCAACAACCTTTTCTTCCTTTTCTATTCATCATAACAACAAAAAAATTTGGATTGCCTTTCTTTTGGATTATCAATCCAACAAAATTAGAAGTTAGAACCATTCTTAGTTATAGAATTACACTATCACTTTCTTCAGATAAATGGGCTGTTTGCCCCAGTCCCCCTGTAATATATCGTTTCAATTAGGTTCACCTTATACTTTCACCATCTACCTATTTCTCCCTACACACATTATATTCTTCACAATTCCACCCAATTTTATACAATTCCACCCAATTCACTAAAATCAATTATGCTTCCTAAATGCGTTTTAAAAGCACAAAATCGCGTTTTAAAATTGATAATCTATGATAAAACCGGTAATCCGACTCATGTCTCATAACCTGAATTGAACCTTCTGTTTGATATAGAGGATTCGATTTTGACTTCAAAATCTGGTTCCTTATATTGCTTCAAGGTTTTTTTTTCGTTCTTCTTCGCATGGCCTATTTTTAAAGGGCCTAGTTTTCCGTTCTTCTTCCCTGTTCTTTTAAGTTTGTTATTTACCCTGTTCTTTTAAGTTTGTTATTTACAATGTTTCTTCACACACTTTCCTCTCCTTTGTCTCATGCAAATATTTTGGAGCACATACGACAAATGATAAAAAGACCAACCAAATAAAATCCAGGAAACCCAAATCTTTTGGTTTGAAACCCAATTTCGATAGTGGGCCTTGTTAAATATTTTCTCGAAACGTCCTTTAAAAACATGTTTAGTGTATAGAAAACATTAGTTCATTAACAAAAAAATATTGAAAATTGTTAATACTGAAAATTTTAAAAACTGATACCTCTTATTGTATACGTTTCAGAGTTTTGTAACTTTTGTTCTCTAATGTACATATGCCAATTGAATTCTTTTGTTCTTGTTGTCTCTGTGATCGTGTTAATTAAAATTTTGATACGTGTCAGGCTCTCGTGAGAATGTTCAAGGTTTATATGATAAGAAATAAGATTTGTTTCAGAAAAAAATAAATTTTTGATATTAAAAATAAATATATATTGTATTAGATTAGACAAATTGTTGTATCATTCCCCATTTAGGCCCACTACTAGCAACCACTCAATATGAAGATGACCCAACCTTACCCAACTCTAACTTGTTCATCATTTCAGTATATGAAGATTTTTCTTTGTTTGTTGTAAAAATTAATGATGGGAATTTTTTTTGTCGTTTAGGTTCATATAAACAAAATTATGTATCCAACCAAGTTCTCCGTTTATTTCATTGGAAGAGCACGAAATTCCTCTCCTCCTAGACGCTATATAGCTTATCATTGCTCCTAAGTAGCTTATGTATTTGCCATGAATGTTAAAAGTAAGCAAAAGTGATCAACTTGTGTATGGAAAAATATGGTATTAGTGGGTGAATTTGTCAAATGATAGTGCACAATGTAAAGCCAAGAAAAAAGAGGTCCTCATACTTTTTCTTTAGCATCCACCGACTCCTACTCATGTGTCTTTTGGCAAGAATTCACTGTTACTGTCGCTGACAAAGTTGTCTTCTTAGAAGAAACTAAATCAGATCTGTGGGTAACCAAATCCTAATAATCACTGTACGCTCATCAACCTCACATCATTTCATATCTTAAAATATCTTTTTCACCCCTTTTTTTTCTTACACACATACAAAAAAGGAGTAGAGTTATTACCTTGGGCCGGGCCAGCTCACTTTAGTCTGGCCCGTTTTAGCCTCATTCTAGGACACAAGCTAACTCGCGGTTAACCTATACAATCGTACAATTATCAAGCTTATTATCAAAAGAGTCATGCTCACCCCGGAAGAAACCGATACTAATCTTTTTTTTTTTAAATATAATGGATCTAGACTCCAAAATAAGAAATGGGTTAACCCAAAGGCAGGACTGCTCCACTGCTTGGTATACAATGACCCCTTGGAAAGAATACAAAGAAAAACGAACTCTTTCTATACATACTTGATGATTAAGTGAAATGTGAGTACATAAACGATCAAGGCAAGAGCCTTTGGTACTTGGTCTCTCTTTTGGAGTCAGACTCGTCACAGTGAACCCTCTTCCTGTTAAGATTATTCCCACAACTATCTTGTGACAATGGTGATGCTTCAGCAATAATCACTGGTGGAATTTCAAAGGACTCAAGCTGCGGTGGTGGATGACGCCATTGTGGAAGCTGTCCAGCTAGAAGCAGAGTCTGAAGCAAAGGCCCTGCCTTCACCACCGCCTTTAAAAGCTTCCCTTTCTCCGGTAATGTCATCTCCGGAAAATCTAACTCGATCTCCATCGGCGGTTCAAAAGATGAAACAATGCTTTCTTCACCGTCTGATGAGTGAAACCCATTAATGTTTGGGTCTTGCTCTTCGTCCGTTTGGCGTTGAAGAAGATTGTTTTGGTCAAGAAGAAGCCTCTTGTATCTCTCTTGTGCTTCATCTTTCTCTTTGATAGCTTTGTTGAGAAGATCTTTGAGATGCATTATCTGGTCATCTTTGGCAATGAGTTCTTCACTGGCTACCATTCTTGTTTGCTCTAACTCCATTGTTGTGTGAAGAAGAGAATGTCTAAGATCTTCTATTGTCTGCCAACCAAAATAAACAGTTTGAGCTTGGAGGAATTGAGAAATCTATAATAGAAAAGAAGGTAAAATCTCTTGAAGAAGAATGTAGACTAGTGTTTTAATTACCTTTATACCACACTGGTTTTGGTGAGCCCAACTAAGTAGATAATTTTGCTGCTGTCTCTCCATCTTTCTTCAATGAATCAATTCTAATGAGAGAGGGAGAGAGAGTGAGTTATATATGACTTATGAATTATGATAAGTGTATTGTTGTTATCATAGTTTATAAGCAAAATATAGGATAGATTTACACTGTTTTAAATTAGTGGGTAATTTTTGGGTATTTGATTTGCTTTTAGATTGGTCACAACTCACAAGAGGTTGGGACAAGAGTCAAGAAAATGTTTGAAACCTTTTTCCATCAAAGAGAATCTTTTAAGACTTTTTTCTTCCTTTTTATTTATTTTTTAATAAAAAATACAAATTAAACAAACAAACAAAAAAAGAACGCGCTAACGGTAATTATGATTATATTGGAAAAATACTTTATTCCATGGACTTCTTCGGCCTCGATTTGAGAGGAGAAGAGAATTATACGTTGCGATATGAGAACGTTCCAACTTTATACTAAACTAGTAATCTATGTCATGCTCATGCAAGAAAATATTGCGAGTATCAAGTTTACTAAAATCAAGCATCTTTTTGGACATACTTAATAGGGCATATTTGTTACATTTTTGGTAAAAATTTGACAAAAAAAAAGGTCATGAAAACATTATATCTCACCAAATAACCATGATTTTTACTAATCTGATTCGTTTGTAAACAAGCACAACATTCATCTTGTATAGACAAAATAAAATTGGGGCCATTTATGTTTTTAATATTTTTTTGGAAGAATTGGATCCTTTCTCTAGTAAATTAATTTCTTAAAATATTTGTCCTACCTAATATATATATATATATCAAAATGATTATGAGTTTATGGGCCAACTCACATTTTCCTTACAGTCAGTCGTTGGCAGTGAGTGAGATTATAATAAGTGCCAATGGCAATGGGACCCTAAGAAATTCTTAAAAATAGGTAATTTATTATTGCAACATTCCGACATATTATCTAAAAGCTGAGTCGATCACACTTGTCCACACGCGTACGCATTTTCTTCTGCGTATGTGAATTCACACGTACGTGTGTTTATATACTCGTATGATCATAAGTTTGTAAAGTTTTGAAAGGCAATGTGTGTTTGATGTGAACGTGGGTAGAGAAAAGTTGGTCAGCAAAAGGAGGGAACTGATAACCTAACATCTACCCTTTTGTTTCTATTCACAGGTCTCAAAAATAATTCTTTTATTATTTACAATATTTGTTGAATTTTATAGATTTCCAATTTTAGGTTTCTTTAATAAGTGGAAAAATTCATATTATATTCTCAGTTCTTTAACCAATCTCAAACTACATTTTACTGAATATATTTGGGTCAACTTACATAGATCAATAACATGGTTATCATATGATGATAAATTGATGAGTGTATAACAAAAATTCTTCTCTATCAATTTCATTTTCTTATTCTCATCAGTTTGTTATTACTGATTTCCTTACTATTACTAATGTTTCCCCAAAGGTCCACAAAAACAAATAAGTCTATGCTAATGAGACTCGAAATCATCCTCGATCTCATCACGTTGCAACCGTTTCGGCCATGGCTCTGCATCACCTCACGATTCTTCCATGCCTTAGCACCGCCAGAGAAGACATCTTCACTCAAGATTGCTTCCACCAACCTTATTTCAATTAAGCTAAAAAAAAGAAAAGAAATATAGATCCAAAAAAGATGCCTTAGAAAAAAAAAGAGAAAGAATAGTTTTCTATAAAATTTTATTCATACGAAAGAAAAATAAAGCAAATATTATTTGCTAAATAGAGAATTTATATACTATGAATTCGTCTATTCTTTCTTTGACTAAAACCTATTAATTTTTCTAAAATACTAATCAATCTTAATAGTTGAATTAAAATATATCAGTCTGCAAGACCACATTTCAAAAGGTAAAACCAATGAACATATTTTGTCGTCTGCGACTGCGAACTTAAGAGGTGTAAGAGACCCCGCAAATTAGAGGTCATGCCAATTAAACAGTCATAATCTAATTCTAAAGCATCAGTACTTTAATATATCTCTAGATCATGCTACAAAAATTAGAAGCCAGAGTAAAATCTCTAGATCATGCTACAGTAAAACAATAACTTTTGGTGGGTTATATACATTTTATAATCATTTCTTTTGGTGGGTTATATACATTTTATAATCATTTCTAACAAATTATATACACTAAATCATCTCTTTTATAATCATTTCTAACAAGTTATATACACTAAATCATTTCTTTTTCTATAGTTTACAGGCAAAATCTAATTTTGGCTTCTTTTTTCAATCACATATAACATTAAATAATGGTGTTACAATACGAACATCATTAATTAAATATTTTACATTGAATGAAAAATATAAGTAATAAAAATATTAAAAATAATAAAATAATTTCAAATTTAAGAAATTTAATGATAATAAATAATATGTAAATTACTCGATAGAATGATATATCTAAAATATTTAATAACTAATTTTTAAACTTTTTAATATTTATTAAACATCTGTTCAGCCTGTTAATGTTTTTCACCATTCAAGATATATTTTAACTCGCTTTATCTGCTTTACCCGCACTTGTTCTGCCGATCTACTTGATCTTCTCTTATTTCTTTTGATCTGCACCGCTTGATCCACTTTGATCATTTGAATCTTTAGTAAAGATAATTTTATTGTCTTTCCAATATAATTTGACATCATCACCTGTTTTAAGACCTCTTGCCTCTCTGAGATTTTTCCACCCACCTCTGATAATATAACCATTCATTAATGAAAGGTTTACTTGATAAGATTTGTCATTGTCTTGAATTTCCAAATGAATATCATTTTGGGGTACTGTAATTCCCTTAGTCTTTAGTATGTTATCCATTTGCTTTTTTGGTAAGTACAAATAACCTTGACTGGAGACATCCCTATCTACTAGTGTTTTTTCTATCATCATATAGGATCCATTTTGTTGGCCTTTTATCTTAGAAATATAACTAACAATGTTTTCAGAAGATAAAAGATTTGAGGAGTTTGAAAACTAGAGCTAAGCTATATATTTATATATAGTTCTCGGTCAAATAATATTCTTTATCTTTTGTGTCTATCCTAATAGTATTAATTTTTAAAAACAAAATCTCTAAATTTAGTAAATTCTATAGATATTATTTTTCTAATATTTACAACTTAATTCTATAGATATTATTTTTCTAATATTTACAACTTTATAGGTTAAATTAATATTTTTCTAATATTTTTAAAATCAATCTTGCTCGCAGTTGTCTTGACATCCAGACTGTCGTTTCTGCCTCCCAACTTCATAAACTTCTCAGCCAGGACGTTGAAGTCCTCTAGCATCCTTAGCTTCAAAGATTGGGATCCAAAGAGCTGGTAGGTCAGGCTTCGACCATGCTTGTGGGATTCTTTGCTTTGAACAAACAGATTGTTCTCTCCACACAATCTGACAATGCTCCGAGTTAAAGCAGAGTCTGTCTTTGACTTGGCAATCTCCAAGTTTACTTGGACAACAGTGGAGATGACCACTTTCTGTCCAAACAAACTAGTCTTATCCACAGTTTCCCTCTAGAAGTTTTTCAACAGTAAAACTGGCAACTTCATTAGGATCTGTGATTATTTTATATCTCTTCTACTTGACCTTTTTACTTGTATCCTCTCATAGACCTGTATTTCAGTATTCACCATAATACAGAGTCGATAGGGTTCCAAATATCAATAATGTTCTATGGAGTCCAACCGCTAGATCGAATAAATTGTGTATAAAAACCTCCATAAACTACTGTTAATAATGCATGCCACGGACGTCCTAGTAACGTATTTACATTTTTTTGACTGGGGTAAAGTCATAATTTACAGTTATGTTACACCTCTGGAATGAAAACCCCGACGAAGGAATCTCTTTGTCACGAGATTGAGCAGTCAATACATTGGTTTGTCTTGTACCCGGTTTACGTGCCTCGATTTGGCAATACTGAAACACCGTTGTTGCCCGTCCACAAATTTTGTTTCAAAATTCTAATGAACATAAAAATTATTTCCTGTTCCATGACTAGTATAATTTTGTAGATTAAAAAAAGGTGATAGTAATCATATTATTTTAGATCTTGTATATTTTTTTTTTGGATTTTTGAAACTAATATTATTTGAACTAAACTTACAAGATGTATTGTATTAATAAAATACTAAAAGGGAAGATGAAAACCCACATGAAACTTGAAAACTTGTTTTATAATTTTTTACGAAAGATTTATTTCTTAATTTCTAAAAATAAAAATTAACAAACTGAAACTCTTGACATGGCAATAGAAAAGTTATGATATGCCACTCAGATTATCCCATTCATCTATCATAAAAACACACACACATAAATATAATTTTCTTATGTTTTGTTTATATTTTACATTTGTTTTGCTCTTTTTATCAATTTACTTTTCGATATCAAAAAAATAAAATAACTAAGTAAGATGTTAAATAAACGCAACATTATGTTGAATCAAGGTATTCTTGATAAATTGATCCTAACAATCGTCAATTCCATCTAGTTTTATCCGGTTAATAGTAGAGAAAAATGATATTAATAAGGATTGTAGAGTTGTAAGTTTTAGTACCATCCACGTAGTTCAAACTACCGTTTCCAACGATGGTTAAATTATTTTTCTTCTTCCCGATATAAACGACTTCTTTGTATATACTTTTTTCGTAAATGACATATATTTTTTCATATTATTCTCTGAAGCTGTTGCGGCAGCTTCAGTCACCGTGGTGAAGTTACCGTTACCATACTTAGAAACATTGAAGTGGCTTTATCCTTCAACGCCTTCAAAATAAGAAACAAATGAAATACAATGAGCCTTTAGAATATTCTCTAAGATGGTAAAAAAAATATAAATAAAAATATATGAAAATTCGATTCTGATCCTTATTAGATATATGCAAATTTTATTAATGATTTAAACTACATGAATTACATATATCCAATTAACATGTTACCCATATTATTTGACCTTTGTCTACTATACTTTCGATAATAATATTTTATAGGGAGCCTCACAAAAATGCCTATTTTTCAATATCCCTTTTCAAAAATGCCCCTTTTGGCTGTCCATTTTTAAAAATACCATTTTTTATGTACAAAATAACTAAATTACCCTTCTTTTAATAAAAGATATCACAAATATAT